TTATAATATATATAGCTTCTAATAAAATAAGAAAGTTAATAATAATTGCAGATAGAAAATGTGTAGATAAAAGAATTAAAATGTCTTGAATGCAATTATAAAACTGGATAGCAATGTATATAATATTTTTAATTGTTTCAGTTACAAACATCTACATATAGAGAATATAGCACAATGGTTCGACAAGTTTATATTGGTGCGTTGATTTGCATAGATGATAATGAGGAATTGATTATTAAGGAGAACGCTGCTGTATTTGTTGAAGATGGCAAGGTATATTTAACATATCTTACATTTACTTTTTTACTACATATATATATAGTTTATATAAAATAACAGAGATATATTAGTGACATTATCTTATGCAATATCTAGATTATTCGTGTTATGGAGAATCCACAGACTAGTCAACAGGGGATAGATGATGATATCTCAGATTTTCTCACAATATTTCTCGCAGATGACGACGAAGTTAATATTTTGTCACGCGAACAGTTTATGATACCTGGATTCATCGACGGACATACTCATGCGGTACAGTTTCCGAATCTTGGACTGGGCTACAGCAAGTGTCTCTTGGAATGGCTGGAGAATTACACCTTTCCGCTGGAGAGAGAGTACATTGATACGAAATTTGCGGAACAAGTTTTTGAAGCAGTCGTGGTATTTAGCGATTCTAACCGAAATGTTATCGCAGAATGTACAATTATTCAAGATATTCATATAACTTTTTATTATGTTAAATATCGCATATGTTGTTGCAGAAACAAACCGTCAAAATGGGCACAACAACGGCGTGTTACTTTGCATCTTTATACGCCGAGGCGTCTACGATCCTCGCGAGGAAAGCTGCGAAGCTGGGCCAACGAGCTTTCATCGGGAAAGTGAATATGAACGCACCGCGTGACGATGGATACTGCGAAAGCACCGAGAAGTCAATTAATGAAACCGTGGCTTTCATAAAGTCTATTGAGCGAATAGGGGTAAATGCAAACTCTCGTATTTTATTGCCTGCGACATCGCGACAGGATGACGGCTCTTCAATTACAGATAATGTAGGAATCAATTGCAGAAAGATATTACATTGCTCCAAACTTGTTGCAGAGCCCGCTTGTAAGGCCGATCATCACGCCAAGATTTGCATTGAGTTGTGACATGGAATTAATGCAAGAGCTGGCAAAGATCGCTAAAGAGAAAGATTTACATATACAGGTATTTTTTTATTGAGTTCGATATGCTGTCAACAACGTACAATGCTGTCTGTTATATAAATACAAAGTGTTCCCCATTCTCCGTAGACTCATATCTCTGAAAATAAAGACGAGATAGCGGCAGTAGAAGCAGCTTTTCCAAACCAGCCTTCATACACGGCTGTTTATGACGCCGCTGGTCTTCTCACTAATAAGGTATAATATATCATTAATCTATACGAAATAGACTGAAACAACATATTTCGTTTTCTTTTACACGAAAATCTATGATTAGCCCAGTTAGACTCATATAGTGTATCTGATTGTCTCACAGACAGTATTAGCGCACGGAGTTCATCTCGCGGACAGCGAACTTGCCATTCTCAAAGAACGAGGAACAGCTGTGATTCACTGTCCCTCTTCGAACACGTATCTGAAAAGCGGTCTTTGCGACGTACAGAGGCTAAAGGCTAACAGTATCAAAGTTGGACTTGGAACAGGTGCCACAAGAATTCTTGTACAAGTTTTATGCCAATAATTTGGATATTTAACTTAATATCCAAGCTTTAAGATTTAACTGAATTAATATACACTGCAACACGATGTTCATCACGTTAAAAATGAATGTGTCTTCTTAGATGTTTCAGGTGGAGCCAGTTACAGTATATTGGACGAGATGAGATCGGTTTTACGAGTATCAAATTGTCTGTCCTTGACAAGAGACAATTATACACCGCTTAGTTACAAAGACGCTTTTTATATGGCAACATTAGGAGGTGCTAGAGGTAAGGGGTTGACGGTATACATTAAGAATGCTCTATACATTCATATACAAAATGCTTTTTACAATTGTATTGATTATATTAATTTTGTGTTTAGCACTCTCAATTGAGGACAAAGTCGGTAATTTCATGGCAGGCAAAGAATTCGATGCTCTCATCGTCGACTTGAATGTGAAAGACAGCTTATTGAATAATTTCAGAAAATATACGCTCGAGGAGAATTTTCAGAGATTCATATACAGCGGTGATGAACGTAATATAGTGTCAGTATATGTAAGTGGCAGGAAAATTAAATAAGGACTTCCTCTGTTTTACAAGTTTTGTAACATAAAACATGGAACTATCAAATAAAAAGCATTTATCTTCGCACATTATTTCTACATTATTTTGTACGGTACAACAAATTTATAATAAATTTTGCAATGGATAAGCCGATTGAATAAATTAAATGAGTTAATATTATTTTTTCTTTAATAAAAACATTACACTCTTGGCTCCGCAAAATTACGTTTTTATTTTTATATTTTAGAAATTTAGAACAATAGAGCGATATTTTTCTGAATCATTTCTAACGAAAAATATTTTATTTATTTTTGTCCTTTCTATTAAATACTGTTTTATGATTATTTTAATTAACAGTATAATATAGCAAATTTATATCTCGAATACTTGAATCTGACTGTAAATTGTGAGTCGACGCATTGTTGAATAGAAACGCGCCATTTTTCAAAACGTCATACAACGCGCCATCTCGAAGGGATATTAATTTCCCGTCTCCACCTCATGTTTCCGGCTATTCTCTGATCCTCTGGAGGAAAGGGAAAGAAGTGACGTGAGTGTACATTTTAGAAATTTTCCAGTTACGATAACTTTTGCATATTTCTCGCTCATCTGTGCGAGACGATTACAAAGATGAATATTCTTGTATGAACAATTACGCATAAACAATCGGATTTCCTGATATTTTATCAAATGCCGCATGTTGGCCTTGCACATTTAGGTTATTACCGTCGCAAGTTTCAGTATCAAAGATTACTAAACATGCATACTAATTCGGGACGGTTATGCCCGTTTTAGACTGGAGGATGATCCTACTCTTGGCTCATCCTCCTTTCTGTAGTGTACGTGACATAAACTATACACAAACTTATAGATTTTTACCCGTCTACACACTCTACACCACTCACTCGGATGAGCCGAGAGTAGAATCATACTCCAGTCTAGAACGGGCATTAAGTTTATCATGAGTTTTGTTTTAACTGTAGAATGGCGGACGCAGCTCCAGCCGCACGCGGTGGTTTTCGTGGAGGTTTCGGCTCTCGCGGTGGCGATCGCGGGGGTCTGAGGGGTCGTGGAGGTAGAGGCAGAGGCAGAGGACGCGGCCGTGGACGCGGCAAGGAAGACAGCAAGGAATGGGTCCCGGTCACCAAGCTGGGCCGTCTGGTCCGAGACGGCAAGATTCAGTCTCTCGAGCACATCTACCTGTTCTCTTTGCCCATCAAGGAATACGAGATCATTGACAAGTTCCTCGGGCCGGATCTGAAAGACGAGGTTCTGAAAATTATGCCGGTACAGAAGCAGACGCGAGCTGGTCAACGCACACGTTTCAAGGTAAACCTTTTCTCTTTTAGATATAACAAACTAAAAAGGAACACAAAACATAAAAGTGTCATAAAAATGTCGAGAGACAAGAGTCTAAAATCGGAATATTTTACAGGCTTTCGTTGCCATTGGAGACAGCAATGGACACATCGGATTGGGAGTGAAATGCTCCAAGGAGGTGGCCACTGCGATTCGCGGCGCTATCATTCTGGCCAAGCTCTCCGTCGTGCCGGTACGGCGCGGTTACTGGGGCAACAAGATCGGCAAGCCGCACACGGTGCCGTGCAAGGTGACGGGCAAGTGCGGTTCCGTCCAGGTGCGTCTGATACCCGCGCCCAGAGGTACCGGCATCGTATCCGCCCCAGTTCCCAAGAAGCTACTTCAGATGGCCGGCATCGAGGACTGCTACACCTCGGCCAGAGGATCGACCTGCACCCTCGGCAACTTTGCCAAGGCCACTTACGCCGCGATCGCCAAAACTTACGCGTATCTGACGCCCGACCTGTGGAAGGAACAGGCACTGGCTAAAGCACCGTACCAAGAATTCGCCGACTATCTGTCCAAGACTCACAAAGGCGGCGCGAGAGCGGCCGAAGTTGTCTAAATAAACATCCAGGCCTTTTGGGAACGCTTTAAAAAAAAAAAAATTGTAAAACAAATCTTATTTCTCTCCCTCAATCCCCTGACTCAATGCTTCCTGTTCTGTACCGTTTTATCGAGATCAATGGATAGAAAAGAATGGATCAATAAAGAATAGACTGAACCTTCGTCATGCACATCACCACATAGGATTTGTCGATGAATGTACGATAGTCTAGCAGCACCGTTGATTATGAATGGGGATTAAAAAAACCCTGGATAGATCTGTCTGTTCACAGTACATTACTTTTATATATGAATTTAATCAAGACCGCACTGTTTTTTTTAATTTGTTTTATTAAGAAACTGACTACGCCTTTAATATACGCAATTTTGATACTTAACCAACTTAAAAACGTATTTGCAATATATTAGAAATATTCTAAGAGAACGACACGGCGTTACGTAGCGTCGGAGGCGTCTTGCGAAGATTTATATTTCTCGTAGGATTTGTCAAACGTCTTGAGCGTGTGGTCGCACATTTTCTCAAGATCGTGGAGACCTCGTTTCAACACCTCGATCACGTTCTCACCGGTCGTTTGGATGTTGAGGTGCACCCTCTTCTCCGCCGGATGTGGCACGGTGTGGCCGCATATCTTGACGTTCGGGCTGCAGGGAGAGATTGGAAGAGGTGTTTTAGAAAAAGGTATTCCACGATCAACTGACATTCACGAATTTCAAACGATACGTACTATTCGCTTATCACGGAAGCGAGCGCGTTTCCCAAGGTATGTCCCTCGTCGGCGAAGACGAAAGTTCCATACTTATTATCCGCGTCATTCCCCGGCAGCTGCGTTCACAGTCAACAATGTAACAATTCCGCGTTTAGCTCTTTTATCACGTTAACTATCGTTATTAGTTATCGTATTACCTTTGAGAGACGTCTCTCCATCGCGGGCCGTGCTCCGTGTTGATGACGCTGATACTGATCCACACTCACGTGCGCTTTGAATCGTACTGATGTAAGAAGACAGGTGTCAGGTGTTTTCATTGCGCACAATGGCGGCCGAAGAATACGACAGCCAATCAAATTTTGGTTGGGAACATCGCGCCACATTCAAATGTAGCATTAGTCAAGGTCCGTGACAAGAATATTCAGTCAGATCTTATATATAAGATCCTACTACTAATATCGGCCTAAAAGTGTTGCGAGCGCTAAATGGAACGTAGCTAAAGTCAAAGATCCATTGATCGTGGACAAGGAAACAAAATTTTGAAATCCAGCTCTCAAGCTATACGATGGAAATTACTTTCGAGAATTAAATGACTGATTTTTTGAAGATAAAATCGATTCATAATTGATCTGAGAACGTGTAGATATAATGGCTCGATAAATAAAAATAGTCTATGAAAGACTCTGCACCAATCATAAACTATGATAATAAAAGCGTATTAATTTTGCAGAATTCAAATTTCACAATTTATATCAATAGCTTGTAAGATCCGGTATAAGGTTCATAAATAAAAATATGGGAACGCTATTTGACTTATAAACGTACACGATGTAATTAGGTAAATATAAAATGTCATTTATTAAAATAGACTGTATATATACATATATGTATAGAGATATATATATATATAATCAGATCTTTATACATTTAAAATACATTTTATTATAATCGAGTCTCCAGTGCAACCTACGCATAATATTGCTTAATATCGTAAATTACTTATTGCATAATATTCCCGTTTGTACTATTGTATGTAGGACTATTTGTACTATTTGCACTATCGTTTGTACTATTGTTTGTACCATTGCACTACATATTGTCGAGACATGTCAAGATATTTTCGTATACAAATTCAAGAAATAATTTTAACCCTTCGCAGAACGCACGTAATTCTGATACTTTCGTCGTACACCTGGGGATCTTTTATGCCCAGATAAGATTTTCAAGCTGTAATGGTGCCATAAAAAAGCTGAAAAAATTCAAGTATACTTTCAAAGGCTTTAATAAACTATTTATACCGTTATGTATGCTTGATTCTTGTTCGCGTTTTCTTTATGAATCCGTAAAATCTGCGTAAAATTCGAAATTGAAATATCGATTGGGTCTTGAAAGCCTCACGTGTTCTGCGAAGGGTTAACTCATATTTTTACTCAGGTCCCGTATTTTTAATTACACCTAACGAAGATGGCAGCTGCGTCAACTTGTCGAGTATCCCGGGTGTGACGAGACAAGTCCTATTACGTACTGCTCAAAATCGCGTTTACATTGACGATATATTTCCGCAATCTGTTGGTCGGTTTGTCGGTTAATACGTGACATACGTAACCAGTATTTATCTAGGTAATTTGAAAGACCGGGTACGAGTTCCTCGGGATCTAGCTCTTCTTTAAAACGAGATTCTGAAACTAATACATACATTGTTAAGAAAAAAAACTATCTATATGTCTACTATTCGCAACCAAAACAAAAAAATCGTGTTACTTACCCATTCTAAGGGAGAAAGTTATAGTCGCTAGAATGTCATTTATTTTTCCCACATTCACATTATAATTTATGATACTTGACAGTATACACGTAGCATTGTAAATCAGGAAGGCACTTGCTTCCCGAATTGGATATAAATTATGTAACTTATTGCACGGTTCCAATATTCTATATATAATCTCCAAAAGTTTCAAAAGCATCTCTCCATTATCACAGATTTCGCCTTCAACCACGTGGTTGGGGTCTATTATGATGAGATTTAAGCATCCAAGCCAGTTATAGGCAAACTTCCATTCAAAGCGACTCGTCTCTCTCATTGTTCTCGTTTCTCTCGCCATTATCCCCGTAAACGATTCTAACATCGCAACAATGAATTGGTCAATTTTAAACAGTTTCTCCCACAATTTGTTTTTCTTCGCCAAACGTGCACCAATAAATATAGATGCAACCAAATCCATTGTACCGGTTAGTAATTCATCTGCGACAAAGATTTCAGGATTATATTAATTATGCAAAAGATTTCTCTTGTGTAATTACAGTGCTTACCATTAGTCGAAGTCATTAATATAGAGATTATACAATCTCCGAAAAATGCACATTTCGTAAAATAAGCTACCCAAACTGATCGAGCTTTTTTTATGATTTGATCCGACATTTCCTTCAAGATCTTGACAAGTTGAATCAATATTAACGAGTTGTCGGATTTTAAATAGCTCAGGATTTGTGTGACTAGCTCTCGATCGCGGCCTATTGTATCGATGGCCGCTTTATCACTGCTGCATACATTGCCAATGATACCCAAGATTATTTCCTACGAATATATCTGTAGTTATTAACCAGCCAAAATTAGTTGTTAAAATAATTTCTGTAGAACTCATGATAGATAAGTCGTACAATCAATCGTGGTTCGGTTGAAATCACCAGTACTCTCTTCGCTATCTTGGGGAAATCGGACAAACTTGAAAGGAGATGTGATATCGCACCTTATGTTGTACGATACCACAGAGCACAAAGCTGATCTTCTAGCTCTTTCGTCCAGCTATTCTTGCCAATCTGAATAAGTAAATTACAATCAAACACTTTATCTTAGCGCACTTTTAACAAGAATTGCAAACATATTAAACTTAATTTTAAAAATTAAGAAGAAAGACTGCAATAAAAAGATTATATCGGATAAACCAAAATTTTAAAGGACATTCTGCATAATGTTGCTATTCAATTGGGGTAAAAACGATTTTTTAGAAATATTATAATTTGACAGTTTATATATAAATTTTATTGTGTAATTTATTTGTTCCACTAAAAAAACTTGAGTTTATTATTAAATAAAGCTTTTTAAAAACTAAAAATTAAACTTATATTGCTGTCAGAATCCTTTATTTGACTTTAACGTGTCGCTTTTCTGTAAAAACCGAAAGTTTGAATTAAAATTTATTGGCTACCGCGTCGCAGCTCACCGCGTGGCAAGCGTTTCCGCGTCCCGTATGCAGGAACCATTTATTTATTAAAATTTGAACAAATAAAAATATATTTATAGTCATTTTATATTTACATTATATATGATGTATATATAATTTTCCAAAGCATTTTAATTCTTGTTTTGTACCCCCAATTCTGACTCGCAAAATTTTTACGTTCGCCACGTGGTATGCAGCGCATAGCAATACCGCGTGGCAAGCAGCTTCGACGGCCATCTTGAAAAAAAAAGAAGACCACGTGGCGGCACATGGCAAGCGTTTCCGCATCTCGTATGCAGGGGGGAGCCATTTATTTATAAAAATTTATTTATAGTCGTTTTATTATTATTTACATTATATGTGACGTATATATAATTTTTCAAAGCATTTTAATTTTTTTGTACCCTCAATTATCTAACTCGTAAAATATTACATAAAGTAGTTAATACGTAAAGAATAATTTTTATAAAAAAAATTACCTCGTTTAGAGACTTTAGAGTGTCGTTTACCCATTTGCTACTGTGGAGATCATTATCATTACCCACGGCATCGCCTCTGAAA